CAACCAGGGCCGAAAAAAAAAATTTTAATAAAATAAAAAATAATGACAGAAAACTTCCCTAACTTGGTGAAGGAAACAGACATACAAATCCAGGAAGCACAGAGTTCCAAACAAGATGAACCCAAAGACGTCCACACCAAGACACATCATCATCAAAATGCAAAAGGTTCAAGACAAGGACAGAATCTTAAAAGCAGCAAGAGAAAAGAAGTTAGTTACCTACAAGGGAGCTCCCATTAGAATGTCAGCTGATTTCTCAAAAGAAACTTTGCAGGCCAGAAGTGGGTGGCAAGAAATATTTAAAGTAATGAAAAGCAAGGACCTGCAACCAAGATTACTCTATCCTGCAAAGCTATCATTTAGAATCGATGGCCATAGCCCCGGCCGGTTTGGCTCAGAGGTTACAGCATCAGCTGCAGTTCAGAGAGACCTGGGTTCAGTTCCTGCTAAGGGCACGTACCTTGGTTGCAGTTTGTCCCCAGCCCTGGTTGGGTCGTGTGGGTGGCAGCCACTCGATGTGTCGCTTTCACATCGATGTTTCTCTCTCTCTCTCTCTTTCCCTCTCCCTCTATCTGAACAAAGTATCGAAAAATGTCCTCGGGTGAGGATAAAAAAAAAAAAAAAAAAAAAATTGATGGCCATATAAAGAGTTTCCCAGACAAGAAAACGCTAAAGGAGTTCATCATCACTGAACCAGTATTATATAAAATGTTGAAGGGTCTTCTTAAAGAAAAAGATAAAAAATATTTACAATAAAATGGCAATAAATACATATCTATCAACAACTGAATCTACAAACAAAATTAACAAACAACAGAAACAGGCTCCTAGATACAGAGAACTTTTTGTAGGTTGCCAGATGTGGAGAGGGTTGTGGAAATGGGTGAAAAGGATGAAGGGATTAAGAAGTACAAATTGGGCCCTGGCCGGTTTGGCTCAGCGGTTGGAGCGTCAGCCTGCGGTCCGGAGAGACCCGGGTTCGGTTCCCGCTAAGGGCACGTACTTCGGTTGCAGTTTGTCCCCGGCCCTGGTTGGTCGTGTGGGTGGCAGCCACTCGATGTGTCCCTTTCACATCGATGTTTCTCTCTCTCTTCCTCTCTCTCCCTCCCACTCTATCTGTACAAAAAATGGAAAAATGTCCTCGGGTGAGGATTAAAAAAAAAAAAAAAAAGAAGTACAAATTGGTTGTTAGACTAACAAACCTCAAAGGGAAGGGGGCAGGAGTGGCGGGAAGAGATTAGCCAAAGAACTTCTATACATATATGCTTAATCAATGGACACAGACAATAGTGTGGAGAAGGCAGGAGGGGAGTGGGAGTGAGGAGGAGGAAATTAATGAGGGAAAAAGGTCAGGGGGACATCTATAATACTTTCAACAATAAAGATAAGTTCTTAAAAATAAAATAAAAAATAGATACACATTAAAAAAATTGTTTTAACTCTGAAATGGAAACATAATCTGCATGGTCTCCATCCTCACAATCCCAGGACAAAGGCAGGCTGAGGACACACCTGCGGCCTATGAGCACAATCTCCCAGAACTGCTTGCAGCTGTAGAACCCTGGCCTCCTTCTGCAACACCTACCTCACAGGCACAGGGCTTGCATGCCCTAGAACCCCATGCAGTCTTGCAGAATCATCTGACTGGACAGACATTCACTGACCCCTCCCTGACCCAGGGTCTGGGGAAGCACATGAGGGGCTCCAGGAGTAGGAGCATACCCTCCTCGGATTACAACGCACCCACTCCTCCATATCCCCCCATACCCTCTACTGGCCCTGCCTGCCCTTCTTCCCATCTCCACAGGCCTAAGGAGTGGAGAGGGGGTGCTGACATAAACGTCTGCATCCTATTCCTGCCCCAAATTTTCTAGCATCTTTGGAAACTTCACTTCCCTTTTCCTCTCCTATTGGCTGACTTTCCATAATCCCCACCCCCACTCCACCCATGAAAGAAATAAAGTTCTGCCCTGGCCAGTTTGGCTCAGCGGTTAGAGCGTCGGCCTGCGGTCCGGAGAGACCCGGGTTCGGTTCCCGCTAAGGGCACGTACTTCGGTTGCAGTTTGTCCCCGGCCCTGGTTGGTCGAGCGGCTGGCAGCCACTCGATGTGTCCCTTCACGTCGATGTTTTTCTCTTTCTCTCCCTTCCTCTCTCTCCCTCCCACTCTATCTGTACAAAAAATGGAAAAATATCCTTGGATGAGGATAAAAAAAAGAAAGAAAGAAAAGAAATAAAGTTTTGACTGGCTTGAAAACGCTCCACAACCTGCCTTGCCCTTACCTCCCATGGATTCCTCACAGGTACTGCCTTGCTGATTCTATCCCAAGCAGGCAGTAACTGCCCTTGTCCTTGCTCTCCACTGCAGGCCCCACAGACACATCTGGACACCTTTTCTGACTCAATCCACTTACCACCACCCAGATGAATATAAGATCTGCCTCCCTGAGAGATTCCAGCCCACCATGGGTATCCTGTCCTTGACTCCAGAAGCAGGTCCAGACTGAGTTCAGCACTGACCTCTCTGATGCAATCCCTGCTGGGTCAGCACCTAGAACATGACCTGTCCTTTCATCTTCTAAACTATCTAAGGTATCACTTGTTCATAATAAACCTGGGCTAGAAGCTGTCCCACCCTGCCTTTCCTATCTTCATAGTACAGGCCTAGCGATTCCTGATTAGAGAAGTCAGATGAGGCTATGGCACAGCCCTTTTTGGAAAGTGACAGGGAGACAAGTCCCCATCACTGCAGGCCAAAAATCTCCACAGCCTTAGTCCTGGAACATGCCTCTGCTCATTCATTTATAGTTGATTTTTATCATCTAATAATTCATAAATACCACGCTAGGAAACCTGCCTCCGATCCTTTTCTCCCGTAGCTACACTGACTGTCCATTTTTCTTCCCCCTATCTCCACCCACAGCCCTAATGACTGGGGCATGGTCAGACCACAAGGGAGCCCTCAACCAGTGAGTCCAAGACGCTAAAGGCCGGATGCAGGAAACCTCGGTGTCTTTGCGGGGGATTTGAGGTGCCTGAAGAGTGGAGCGCGGAAAGCCAGGACCAGATGACCAGGGGTTAATCTCCGCTGCCCTTTCCAGTCTCCGAGGCCGGAGCGTCTGTCTTTGGCGCCACCTGGCGGCCGCCGCCCTCAAGCAGAGACAGGACTAGACAACAAGGGCGCCCAGCTTGGAGAACTGGGACAGCACAGCCCAGGGAAGAAAGCACATCTTTGGATTCGGGCGGATCTCACGACATTCGCGAGACCATAGACCCGGTGCCCTCCGCCGCTCACGGCTGCAGACGCAGGCCCTGACGCTGCAGGGTACTAGGCTGCGAAATAAGCGTGCGCGCGCGCCCCACACCACCGCGCGCGCGCACGCACGCCTGGACATTTGCCGGCACCGGCTGGTCCTCTAAGCCTCCGGCCGCGGGCTCTCGAGCCGGTCACACGGAGAGAGGGCAACTTCGCGCGGGTTGTTACACGAGCACCGCCTCACACTCTTCCGCCCTCACCTCGAGCGTGAAACGCCGCCGAGGTCTCCCTTTCCGTGGGTGACCCCCTGGAGGGCGGGACGTGGTGGTCCGTGGGGCTCCGACCCCTCCGAGCATTCTGGGGGCGCCTAGGCCAGGCCGCTCCCACCTGCCCGCCGCGGCGGCCAATGAGAGCCTGGCCTAGTGATGTCATGCTCCTACCAGACCCTGGTGACGAAAGTCCGAAGTCACCCGTCAGGGAACCAGCGCAAATCCACCCGCGGGGGTCCCGGAAGTTTCCACTGCGGCGGCGGAGTGCGGCCTCGCACCGCACCCTTGTGCGTGCCACCACTCTGTCCTTCCTTATGGGGTGTCCCTGAGTCAACCCCCCCACTCCCGTCTCCTTCATGGGGATCCCCTTTATTTCCACTCATGATCTCATGTTCACATTTTCATTTCCACAGGTGTGCGCTCGGCCCCAAGAGCGTCCCATATCACCTTTCTCCACCAGTGCCACCGGATCCTCAGATGGGGTCCTCAGCCACACTTTCACGTGCCGGTCCCCTCATGCCGTCCTTGCTGTGTCGTGGTCAGGCATGCTCATTTATTCAGCCCCCAGCCCCAACTGAGACTGTCACCGTGTCGAGAGTGTCCGTCCGTCTGTGAACATCTGTCACTGCGTTCGTCTGTGGCTGTCACTGCATGAGACCGTCCGTCTGCGTGTGTCTGTCTCCGCGGGCTTTTGTTTGTCCGTCACTGTGGGTGTCTGCTCCGCCACTACGGGTCTTTTGGTCGTGTCTGTCACCGCGTGTCCGTCTGTCGGTGTTCGTCACGGGCGTCCGTCTGGGCCCTGGGGTCTCTGGGTCTCGGCTCTGAGGGAGGGAGAGGGAGAGGAGGTGGCAGCCGGGGCAGTGGGGAGGGGCGGGGGCGGAGACAGTGGGCGGGGGCGCGGTGCGGGGCCGGAGGGGGTGTGTGCGGGGGGCCGGAGCAGGCAGCTGTCAGAATCGGCTCAGCCTGCGCCAGGAAACATCGGCCACCTCCAGCTCCCGGCGCGGCCCGGCCCGGCCCGGCTCGGCCGCCTCAGGTGAGTCTCCCATCCCGCCTGGGACCCTCCCCCGGCCCCGTGGCCCCTCCCGGGTACGGAACACGGTGCCTTCCCGGAGGGATTCAGACCCCTAAACCAGACGCCCACTGCGCCCCCGGGCCTGCCCAGCGACAACCCCCCCCCGGTCACCCCACACTCATCTTTAACTCTAAGCTCGCCGCCGAAGACTTACGATCGTCCGCGCGGGAGCCGGCACCCCGAAGGGCTGGCCACTGCCTCTGCTCTCGATTTCCTGTGGGGACCCCCCCGAGCGCCCCTTTCCCCGTTAGTCCTCAAGTCTGAGGCCACTGGAAGACGCCCCCTGCTTAGGGCGGAACCCCAGCTGCGCTGGTTCCAGGAGCCCGGCTGCTACCACCCCACCCCCACCCACCCCCGCCAATCCCGCCACCCCAGCGCTCCTGCAAAGCGCCCAGCCGAAGCCCCCTGCCAGGCCCAGTCAGCCCCCTCCCGCGGGGACTCCGTCTCTATTTTGGGGGAAGGGGAGGCTCCACGGAAGCCCCGAGTTATAATTAGCCCCACTCGGGTTTCCTAGATAATGTCAGCACCACCACCACACCAGCTCAGGGCGCCGGGGCTGGGTGAGGGGTGACCGCCGAGAGAGGGGGGTAGTTCCGACCCGGGGAATTTTGATCCCTTGGCTGGAGATGCCGGAACCGCAGCAGCTGCTGCCCCAAAATAGCACCCCCGCCCCCTGCAACCGGGGATCTCCGGAGCTCCGAGAACACAGGCGGCGGGGTTCGCCCTTCAGACCCCTCTGCAATGTCCACAAGCCCCTAGACCCCCGCCCCAAGTTCTGGGTTCCCTTAACTCGGGGCGGGGAGCGCCGATATTTTCTCGGCCTCTACTGCCCCCCGCTGGCGGCAGCGTGCACAGAAGCATCGGACGAAAGGGGAACTGGGGCCCTGGGGTCCAAGGCTGGCGAACCCGTTCGCTGAGGCTAGGCGACAGGGGTGCGCAACTGATGGGTACCAGCATGATGTGCCAGACAGTGGATGAGGTAGGCTGGGTGGGGCAGGGTGTGGAGTAGGCAGGATTTGGGGTACCCCAGGACCTGCGGCTCCCACACCCTGAATGCCCAACCCACCCTCCAGGGCCCCGGCCCTGGCCAACGCAGGAGAGGCTGTACCTTCACGCCACCACCGCAAGAGCCCCCATCGGAGCCTCCCATCATCGAGGGCTCCGCCCCTGTCGGGTGGCCTGTACTGCAGCCTCTGGTGCCCACACAGCTCACACTGGGCCCAACCCAGTCCACCCATCTGGGGGAAGGAGGTGAGAGCGGTGGGTCCTCTGTGGGTCAGGGGAGGGTATTGCTTGGCAGGTCTCATCTCTGTTCCTTACATTTGTCTGTCTGGATATGTAGATACCTCATCTCTCTCCCCTGTTGCTTCTCAATGTCTGTCTGTGCCCTTGTCTCTGCTTGTCTCCCTCCCTTCGTTTCTCTCCTCCTCTTCGCCAACATGCCCCACCTCCTCTGCAGTTTAGTGACAACCCCTGAGCAAGAGTGTTACCTAATCTCCCCCCTGGCAGCCTCAGGCCTTCACCCTCTGCTTTTCTTTCTCCCAGCAGCCGCCTGCCTACCTTGGCAGCCATGAGGCCCCCATGGTGTCCCCTGCACACTCCCTTCCCAGCGTCCCCACTTCTTCTCCTCCTCCTCCTCTTCCTCCTGGGAGGAGGAGCAGAGGCTGAACACCCAGAGGACCCAGAGCTGCTGGTGACAGTGCGTGGGGGCCGGCTTCGGGGCATTCGCCTAATGGCCCCTGGGGGCCCTGTCTCTGCTTTTCTGGGCATCCCCTTCGCAGAGCCACCCGTGGGTCCCCGTCGCTTTCTGCCACCAGAGCCCAAGCAACCCTGGCCAGGGGTGCTAGATGCCACAGCCTTCCAAAGGGTCTGCTACCAATATGTGGACACCTTGTACCCTGGCTTCGAAGGCACTGAGATGTGGAACCCGAACCGTGAGCTGAGTGAGGACTGCCTCTACCTCAACGTGTGGACACCATACCCTCGGCCTGAGTCCCTCACCCCTGTTCTTGTCTGGATCTATGGGGGTGGCTTCTACAGTGGGGCCTCCTCCCTGGACGTGTACGATGGCCGCTTCCTGACCCAGGCAGAGGGGACTGTGCTGGTATCCATGAACTACCGGGTGGGAGCCTTTGGCTTCCTGGCCCTGCCAGGGAGCCGGGAGGCCCCAGGCAATGTGGGTCTCCTGGATCAGAGGCTGGCCCTGCAGTGGGTGCAGGAGAATGTGGCAGCCTTTGGGGGGGACCCAATGTCAGTGACTCTGTTTGGGGAAAGTGCAGGTGCTGCCTCTGTGGGCATGCACCTGCTGTCCCCACCCAGCCGGGGCCTGTTCCACAGGGCTGTGCTGCAGAGCGGTGCACCCAACGGGCCCTGGGCTACGGTGGGCATGGGAGAGGCCCGCCGCAGGGCCACGCTACTGGCTCGCCTCGTAGGCTGTCCCCCAGGTGGGTCTGGTAGCAATGACACAGAGTTGGTCACCTGCCTGCGGACACGGCCAGCTCAGGACCTGGTGGACCACGAGTGGCACGTGCTGCCTCAGGAAAGCGTCTTCCGCTTCTCTTTTGTGCCTGTGGTAGACGGAGACTTCCTCAGTGACACACCAGAGGCCCTCATCAATGCTGGAGACTTCCATGGCCTGCAGGTGACTAGTGGCTGGAAGGGGTGGAGCTGGTACCTCTATGCCTATTCTCCCACCCACCCTACCCCTGGGGACCCAGGCATGAGGGCTCCTCAAGACCCACTCCCAGAAGCCCATGCTTCTCTTCCCTGAGGGCTCAATCCCAGGGTGGCCAGTGGGACAGAGAAGAAGAAAATGTGGGTGTATTTTCTCCTCTCCATCCATTCCCCAATCTCATACTCTTCCTCCGTGGTTCTGGGTCTGTAACTGTCCATCTCTCTGGCTCTTTGTCCATTTGTTTCTGTCTGCCTGTCTGTCTGTGTCTGTTCTCACCCCCACCCCACCCCTATTCCTTCATCCTGTTCCCCCAGGTGCTGGTGGGTGTGGTGAAGGATGAGGGCTCCTATTTTCTGGTTTACGGGGCCCCAGGCTTCAGCAAAGACAACGAGTCTCTCATCAGCCGGGCCCAGTTCCTGGCCGGGGTGCGGGTCGGGGTCCCCCAGGCGAGTGACCTGGCTGCCGAGGCTGTGGTCCTGCATTACACAGACTGGCTGCACCCTGAGGACCCAGCACGCCTGAGGGAGGCTATGAGTGATGTGGTGGGCGACCACAATGTCGTGTGCCCTGTGGCCCAACTGGCTGGGCGACTGGCCGCTCAGGGTGCTCGGGTCTATGCCTACATCTTTGAACACCGTGCATCCACACTCTCCTGGCCCCTCTGGATGGGGGTGCCCCACGGCTACGAGATCGAGTTCATCTTTGGGCTCCCCCTGGAACCCTCGCTCAACTACACCATCGAGGAGAGAGCCTTTGCCCAGCGACTGATGAAATACTGGGCCAACTTCGCCCGCACAGGGTTAGCAGTGCCTAGGGGAGGACAGCCTCTGGGAGCCAGGGAGGCAGGGGCAACAGAGAGAGCATGAGGAAGACAGGCAGAGACAGTTAGGAAGGGCCAGAAAGAGAAGGGAAGGTTCACAAAGGAAAGGAGACAAAGGTGGGGGAGAGTGACAAAGAAGAATGGGAGAGGAAGGAGGAAGTAGGGTTGCAGATCCTGAAGAGCCAAGGACTAATGGAGGAAGGCAAAGAAGAAATGGACAAGGAGTTACTATAGTAGGTAGGAGCATGAACTGTAGAACTGGATCAATTAGACCAGTGGTGATTTTATTGTGTGACTCATGCATGCATACACACACACACACACACACACACACACACACACAGTTTACCTATCTGAAGAAGGGGACAAAAAATCCAGTGTCACATGGGTGTTGTCAAAAGTAAATGTGGTGTTTGTAGAGACAGGATTGGGCCTGGTTACATAGCAAGGGCTCAATAAATCATCATTTTTTTAAATGAGAGAAACAAAGACAACAATGGAGCAGGAAAACTGAGAAGGGAGAGGAAAGACAGAAAGGGCAGAAGGAAGGAGAAGACTCCAGATAATAAGGGACACTAGAGAAGAGAAGGAAGGATTAAAGCAGTAGTGGGAGGGAAGGGATGGGGTTCCCCTTGCAAGAAGAGGGCATGGGGTCTGGAAGCAGCCTGCCTCCTCCTCCTCCCCATCTCCAATCCCCAACCCCAGGGCAGGGTGGGCTTGCCTGAGGCTGAGCCTTCCCTTTTCTTACACAGGGACCCCAATGACCCCCGGGACTCCAAAGCCCCACAGTGGCCACCATACACAGGGGTAGCACAGCAGTATGTGAGCCTCAACCTGCGGCCACTGGAGGTGCGGCGGGGGCTGCGCGCACAGGCCTGCGCCTTCTGGAATGGCTTCCTACCCAAATTGCTCAGTGCCACCGGTACGTAGAGGCCAGAGAGCAGGGGTTGGGCAAAGGGGGAAGAAATGGGGCGTGGAGAGAGAGAGGGGAGTGGAAGCCGGCGGGGTGTAACCCCTCTCTTCTCCCCACCAGCCTCGGAGGCTCCCAGCACCTGCCCAGGCCCCGCCCACGCGGAGGCTGCCCCGAGGCCCAGGCCCGGCCTCTCCCTGCCCCTACTTCTCCTCTTCCTCCTTCTCTCCCGGCTCCAGCGGCTGTGACCAAGGCCACTTACCCCTCCGGCCTCAGGGGGCCTCTTCTCTAATGAGTGGTCGGACCTGGGGAAGGGCCACACTCAGGGATCTCCGACCCAGCACTTCCTCCCTCCTCAAACCGGACAGGGTGTGGGGAGGGGTGACTTACGACCTGTCTCAGGGACTTACACGCCTTTGTTGTTTTAATGGAAATGAAAACACCACTTTTCTTTTTTTATGGAATTATTCCTTGGAGGCTGAGCCTGGTGTTGTGGGAGAGGAAAGACTCGGGGCTAGACAGCACCTCCCAGTGGGGCTATAACTGTCAACCATTTCTGTCTCTTCTCTTTTCCCCATCAACCCACGGATGCTCCCTACTCCTGATCCCTTCTGTCCCCTTGTCTTCCGGTCATTCCCCCCCCCCCCCCCCCCCCCCGCCTCCCGCCATCCTTCTTTGGCCCCGCCTCTACACTCATCCTTCCCGTTGTTTCGTCTTTCTCATATCTACCTGATCCTCTTTCCACCACCCCCACGTGGCCTCCTACTTTCTCCTTGTGTCCTTCTGCACTCACAACCCCCACCCGTTGTCCGTTCCCCGCCCTTCCCCACGTCCTCCTCCCGCCCATTTGCTGGGTGCCCTGGCCACAGACACGTTGGACGAGGCGGAGCGCCAGTGGAAGGCCGAGTTCCACCGCTGGAGCTCCTACATGGTGCACTGGAAGAACCAATTTGACCATTACAGCAAGCAAGATCGCTGCTCAGACCTGTGACCCAGGCGGGACCTCCACGTCCCACCACCCTACTCGCCCCTCCCGGCCCCTTAGCTGTATATACTATTTATCTAAGGGCTGGGATATTACAGAGGAGTCCTAGACCTGCCCACCCCCGACTTTCCCCTGGGCTCCCGGTCCTCTGCATGTCTCGGCCGAGCCTCCTACCCCACGGTGCCTTCGCCCCTCTGGGCTGCCAATAAACTGTTACAGCCAAAGGCGTGTGCGCGACTGGGAGGCGGGGATAGGGTATACCTAACCACTGGAGCTGAGGGAATGGATGGGTGGTCGCTGGAGCCAGCAACTGACCCACTCAGAGGTGGAACACTAGGCACCCGCCCCGCCCCAAGGCGGAACTGGAGTCTGCGCAGTAAGAAGGGCAGCAAGGGCGCGGTGGAGTGGGGCTGCAGTGCATTGTGGGAACCCAGTGGGTCGACTTGGTCTTCAGGGTCACAGGGTGTGCTCTACCGCTTCCCGCTGCCGGGCAATATCGTCCGCAGTCTGCTCGCTGGTCCTGCCTGCCGCTAGCCCAAGACCCGGGGCCGAGAGTAAGTGCTGGAGCCTGAGTTCTCCCTGGAGTTCGCTCCACACCGCCAGACGCAACATCTGCCCTGCCTCAGCAACTCGACTCCTGCCGACCGCCCTGGAGCCGCTAAAGGATGTACACCTGGGCCTTGCTCCACCCGGCGGTGGTCCCACTCGCCTAACCATCCTCTCAGGCCACTACCTCTACTATCACTACGGCTGCGATGGTCTGGACGACCGGGGATGGGGCTGCGGATACCGCACTCTGCAGACGCTGTGCTCGTGGCCCGATGGCCTGCCCACGGGTGTGCCCGGATTGGTGGAAGTGCAGGAGGCACTGGAGGACATGGGTGACAAGCCCCGTGGGTTCCGGGGCTCCCGGAGCTGGATAGGCTGTGTAGAGGCCGGCCTCTGCCTCGACTACTTTGGAGGGCCCCAAGGGCGCCTCTGCCACATTCCCCGTGGAGCTGGACTTCAGGGAGAACTGGAGAGGCTTTACTCCCACTTCGCAGGGGGCGGGGGGCCTGTAATGGTAGGGGGGGATGTGGATGCCCAGTCTAAAGCCTTGCTGGGAGTCTGCCTGGGGCCAGGCACCGAAGCCTACGTCCTGGTATTGGACCCTCACTGCTGGGGTGCTCCAAAAACCCCCAGTGAATTACAGGTTGCTGGGTGGGTGGGCTGGAGAGAAGTGTGCACAACCTTTGACCCTAACTCCTTCTACAACCTGTGTTTGACCAGCCATAACTCTGAAAAGCAGCTGCATGCCCAGGACTGAGAGGATTGTCCCTGGCCCAGCACACTCACCTTCCCACTCTCAAAGTCAGAGGCTTAGAGACAGCCCACTGTCAGGCCCCCAGGAAGTCCCTGTAGAGCCTGGGACCTTTGGCATCAATAAAGTGGCAAGACCCAGCTTAACCATTGCCCCAGTCAATGTTTGGGGGGATTTGGGAGGTATATAATATATACTCAGTCAGGAGTCACTGTAGAAGTGCTTTTATTGGCAGTAGGGCTGGACGTACAAAAATTTCTCAGAGCTGGATGGGACAAGGAAGTCACAAGTATATATGATACCGAGAAAGGAAAAGATGACTCAAAAGAAATCCACATCATCTGGAGCATCCAGGTCACGGTATTCCACAATGGCCCGTGGGTCTCCACGGGCCATCCTGTGAGATAAGAAAGAGGTAAAATGCGATGAGAGCTGCAGGTCCCAGTTAGAAGAGGTAAAGAAAGCTTGGATAGCTTAACTCATTCTCACCTGTTGCGAGGTTTCCCAGGATAACCTCCCTGACCTCGGAAGGCATCATAATTCCCTCGGCCAGCACCATAGGGGGCATGGGGATATGGAGGCCCTCCTGTGGGGACTGCAGGGCGGACAGCACCAGCTATGAAAAAGATCAGTGTTGAGTTGAAAACTTATGACCTTGACTACATCTTAGCTGCTTTCTCCCAACCCCTCACAACCACCAAGCCCTTTCAAGTCCCTCCTATACTTACCTCCATAGCCCAAAATGGGGGGCCGGGGCTGACCATAGGGCATCAGGCCCTGGGGAGTCTGGTGTGGGTAGGGGAGTCCCGGGGTCAGGCCTGGGGGGAGTACAACACAGACAGGGACATGAATTACTGGGGGGGGGGGGGGGGGGACACGCAGCAGGCACAGACAACTAGCTGTTAGGAATGTGGCCTAAAGGTAAGGTAGAAGCTTTTCAGGGACAACAGGATAAAGAACCAGTAGTCCTTAAATAGTCAAGGGACAGGGAATGTGGCAGACCCTCATGGATCGTATCTTACTCTGGGCAGGGCCAGGTGGCTGAGCTGGCTTGATCTCAGGCAGAGCTGGGCGCTTAGCATCAGTAAGAAAGTTGTTAAAAAATGCCACCTCCTTCTTCACTTCCTCAATTTTCTCTGCATGCTTGTTGAAGATATGTTTGCGTACAAACTCAGGTCCCTGGATACAGAGAGGAGAGGGTCAAAACTGAGCAAGCAGTTCCCTAACTCCCCAAACCCCAAGATAATCACCCTCCCCTCCCACCTGATTCCAAAGAGCAGTTTCCTCCTAGACCTGGAGACAGATTCCTGGTTCCATCCCCTCCTCCCACCTGTCCCATAACTCTAACATCCCAGACCTTGAATTTCTTGCCACTGAGAGGACATAGCCACTTATCCTTGCCCAGTTCCTGGGTGTTAGAGGTGACAAATTTTTCCACTTCCTGCTCAGGATCTTTGCGACCCATCTTCTGGGCCTCTTCCTCTGAAAGAGATTCCCGCACACTCAGCAGTGGAGTCAGCTTCTCTTCAAACGTCTTTTGCCATTCTAGTACTGTGGTTTGGGAACAGACAGACAGCAGGTTGGAGAAGGAAGCCAGAAGATCTGGAAACAACCCAAGTGTCCATCAATAGATGAGTGGATTAAAAAGCTGTGGTACATGTGCACAATGGAGTACTATGCAGCTGTAAGAAAGAAAGATCTCTTATCCTTTGAGATGGCATGGAAGGACCTAGAGAGTATTATGCTAAGCAAAACAAGCCAAGCAGAGAAAGACAAATATCACATGATCTCACTTATTTGTGGAATATTTGTGGAATATAATGAACTAAACAAACTGCTGAACAAAATTAACCCAGAGACATAGAGGTAGGGTTCAGACCGACAAGCCTCAGAGCAGGGAGGGTTGTGGGGTAAGAGATAAACCACAGAACTTACATGCATGTATGCATGACCAATGAACATAGACAACAAAGCTAGGGATGGGGGGAGAGGGTGTCAATGGGGGAAAAAAGAAACATCTGTAACAAAAACAAATTAATAAATAAAGAAAAAAGAAAAAAGCCAGAAGTTAGGAATAGCAAGGAGGGGATTAGAGGAGGAGGTTCCAGAGCACTGCTCCAGAGCAGAAACTCAAACCAGAGGCAGCTGGGAAAAAAGGAATTAAAGGGAACTCAGGCAGCTCACCTTCTCCATGACTGATGCGATTGGGTGGCATGGGTCCCCGAACATGGATAATGCCACAACGGTTGGGCATTTCATCCTCATTGGGGTACTCGCATGTGTTATAATAATCCAAGGAATGTACAATGCGCAAATAGAGGAGAAGTTTGTCCAAAACCTAAGAGAAATAAGAATCCATAAGTTCACCACACTCTTGCCCTTTACCACCCCAAGCCAGGCTGTCATCCCACTCTGCTCTTGCTGATACCTTGATCAGCTTCTCATCTCGTTCCACATTGATCTCTGCTGGGTTTCCTTCCTTAGGAGGCTCCTCAGGGGGAGCCCCCCCACTGCTCCCCAGCAGTTCCTCCTCCTCAGCACTCACTTCCTCAATCAGGTAGTCAGTGATATTCTTCAAGATAGGGTTCTGAGAGGGCAGACTCTAGTTAGGAGGGAGGAGAAAGGCAAGTAAGGCAAAGAAAGCACCTTATGGTAGGTAGCCCAGGAACCTAATTTGAAAGGCAAAGTGAGGCTGAAAGAATTCAAGACTCACTTGGCCTATTACTACTGCCTCAGGATTTGTCTTCATGTTTTGTATTTGTTCTACCTTAGCCCACAAATAATCACTAACATCAATCTGTTCTGCTGGAAGACCAGAGGTGCCCATAGCAGATGAGGGGGGTGGGTACCAGCTGCTTTTGAAAAAGTTCTATGGAGAGTCACTGACTGTTGGCAGAGGAGGTGTCCCAGGCTCAGAGGCCCAGAGCTGGGTCCTGTCATCCAATGTATGGATCAGCTTGGCTGCCAGCTTGATGTCATTGCGCACTATCTGCTTGTGTTGGGTGATGCCATTGATATTGCGGACGCGACGGGTCAGGTCTCTGTTCACGCCAGGACTCAGCTCACACTCCCGGAGCTGGAAGGAACAGAAAGCTGACCAACACTTGCCCAAGAAGCAGCAACTCAAAAGACTGGCCCTATTGAGAGAACCACTGGTTAGACTGTAAGTTTCCTGAGGATAGGAATCAGGTGTGTTTACCATAACAGTCCCAGGGCCTAGCCCAGAGACAAGAGTACACAATTAACGAGCAGAAGGAATAGATGAATAGGGAGGCAGAATGAAAGAAGCAATTAATAAACAACGCAGTAAGAGGTGTGCAGCATAGAGAGCCACACCTCTTCCTCAAAATAGCCCTGCTCCCAACACTCACTCGGATATTCTGCAGATTCCAACAGATCTCTTTAATGTTAACACTGCGGTCAAATGTCACCCAGCCACGACGAAAAAACCTAAACAACAAAGATATCAACATAATCCTGGGTGGAGGTGATGTTGGCGATTAACCTTCCCCTGTACCTTTTCTCTAACATATCCAGGGTCACATTTCTCTCCACTCCTTACCTCCTCTCAGGCTGGGGCTCCGATAATGCCACACGCATAAAGCCTGGATATCTTTTACAAAGCTGGAAAAGCAGAGGAACCGAAATTTCATTTAGTAATTAGAAGATTCAGGTCTTCCTTCAATCGTTCTGTCCTCAGAACCCTAGGGAACTGCTTTTGAGTCTTTACTCAGACAAGAAAAAACAACAAAAAAAAGCTTAATAACAGCACTTGAAAGAAAATGGTGCAACCAGGACCAGCCCTCGGAAGGCATGGTTCCATGGAAAGGGAGCCTCACTATTAGAGAAATAGGAATGTATGTCAGAAGCAGTGCCAGGTTATTTCCTCCCAACCTAGTGTGCCCCCCGCCCCAATGCCATTTCCCCACTCACAGAAATTATCTCAGCCCGGGAAATGTTGGGTGCGATGTTGCGCATAAAGAGAGAGCAAGTCTTATGCAGAGGCCGGGGTTTACATTCCAGCCCAGGAGTGTCCTTGGGCTTCTCCTTTTCTTCTTCCTTGGGCTTTTCCTTTTCCTTGAGTGTTTCTTCTATGCAGAAAGTGGCGGGAGTTGGTGAATTTTATTGTTGATTTTGGAAGACAGGACAGAAAAGCTGTCAAACTCCCACCCCACCCCCAAGTCTCTCCTAAGAAGCCATCCTCCCATGGGTTTCACCAACTTCTCACCTCCCCTACCATTCATAGGAAGAGAATGGACTAGAAGCAGAAAATAAAACCTACCAGCCTCCTCCTTCTCCTCCTCAGCTTGGCCACTCTCGGACTCTGACTCCGACTCCGACACACTGCCTTCATCAAAGCTGTCATCACCACTGTGCTTCCTATTCCGCTTCTTGCTACTCTGTGGGAGCCACAGAGGAGATGAGCCAGACAACCAGGACCCCAGCCCTGACACTGACACCATGCAAGAGATCCCCTACCTTTTTGGCTTCTTTCTCAGAGTCTTCTTTCTTCTCTTCCTTGTCCCCATCACCCTCAGATTTCTTAGTTTTGTCATCACTAGAACTGCCATTTTCAGCCTACCAGTAGAAACAGTCACTGGAATGTCCATCTCCCCATCAACCTTTATCAAAGGAACCCTCCCACCTTCAACAGCTGAGCCCAGAAGTTCACCTCTCCCCTAGCCAATACACAGCCCCCTAGTTCTAGCTCCTGTGGACCCCACCACCATTGAAATAGCTGTTCTCTTCCCCTGGCACTCACAGGCAGCACCCAGAGGCCCCAGCACTCAGACCTGTTTGCTGTCTTCTTTCTTGTCTTCCTTTTCATTGGCCTTACGCTCTCCATCCACCAGGCCTGGTGCAGCCCGACCTTCCTCTTTCTTGCTGGGTTCTCCAGGCTTTCCTGCCTGCTCCTCCTCCTCCTCCTGCTCCAGGATGCGTAGGTCATTCTCTGTACCACCTTCCATCTTAATCACAGCTACCAACGAAGAAAATAGAAGTCACAATCGAGTGGCCCTCTCCTTCAGCTTCTGGCTTTCTGTCAACCTACTTCTATTTCCCAACCAAGACCTTGGTCACCAGACACCCACTGTCCCAACCAACCCACACACCAGCATCCAGCATCTTCACAATGGCATCAGCTTTG